AAACGTGGGAAATTCCCAAATTCTTTGCTCTAAATCACCTGGAATTTAGAAATATCTTGGAAAAGGAATGTTCATTCCCTGTTAAAATGTGGGAATAACGATGGAAAAGATGGGAAAAGTGAAGGCAGATGTTTCCCTCATCCATTCCTGCTCCTGGATCCACCTCTGGAAAGCAGCTTGGGAATTTTCCTTGGGGATTTCAGGAGAGCAGCAGATCCAGGGTCTCAACTGGATCCTGTTTAAAAGAAATGAGAGGAATTGAGTGGAAAAGTGCCAGAATTTCTCATGGATGATCCCAGGATCATCCCTGAGGAACAGAAACTCTGATGGGAATTCCCAGGGAAGTGGATCCATGGGATGGGAGATCCCAGGGAAGTGGATCCATGGGATGGGAGCTGTGAGGGAAGTGGATCCATGGGATTGGAGCTGAGGGAAATGGATCCATGGGATGGGAGATCCCAGGGAAGTGGATCCATGGGATGGGAGATCCCAGGGAAGTGGATCCATGGGATGGGAGATCCCAGGGAAGTGGATCCATGGGATTGGAGCTCTGGGGGAAGTGGATCCATGGGATTTCCTTCCCAGGAGGAGATGGATGAACCACGGTTATTCCGGCTGGAATCCATCCTAAATCCCAGTTTTCCCTTTCCAGGCACCTGTGGCCTCTCAAAGATCTGACCCTGACCTCCAACCAGGTGAGGAGAATCCTCGGAGCCAGCTGGGAATGGGAATGGGAATGGGCCATGGAATTGGCCTTGGGTGAGGATGGAGCTTCTCTCAATGAATCCCAGCAATCCCAGCTCCCTGATCAGTCACAGTCACTCCCTGTGGATTTCCTTGGATTTCCTTCCCAGCTTTTTTGGGATGGCTCCAGAATCTCTGCTGCTGGAATTCCAAAGGTATCCCTGTCTCTTTTCCAGAGGCGCTCCCTGGTCAAGGATAAATGTTTCCTGTCTGCCACCGAGTGTCTGCAGAAGCTCATGTGAGTCCCTGTCCGCCTCTTCCCATGGAAATCCAAGGGTTTTTTGGGGAAATTCCAGGAATTTGTACCTGTTTCAAAAGCATTCCAGGGCCATTCCTTCATTTCTTAAGGAAAAGTTGTTTGGGATGTTCTTTCTGTTTCCAAGTGAATTCCATGGAATTTTTTACGCCATAACTCCATGAAGACAGCGGTGATTAAATCTGGGAATTCCCTGCTCAGCACTTTCCACTTCCCACAGATATTCCCTAGGAAGGAATTCCTGGCTGGGAATGTGGGGAGGGGCTGGGATGGAATTCCCAAAGATTTGTGGCTGCCCCTGGATCCTTGGAAGTGTCCAAGGCCAGGTTGGAGCACCTTGGGATAGTGGGAAGTGTCCTTGGCCATGGAATGGGATGATCCTTAAATCCCTTCCCACCCAAACCATTCCATGTTTTCTCCCAATGCAAAATGGGACTGGAACACTTCCACCAGTCAAACCTAAACTGGGATTGGAATTGGGATTATTCCATGGATATGTTGGATTTGGGATCCTTTCGTATCCATTGGCTTTTCTGGGAACATTCCCATCCTTCAAGTTCCCTTTCCCTGGGTGTGCCTTGGAGACACCAGGAATGTCCCATTCCATGTGGGAAGTTCTGGGAATGTCCCATTCCATACAAGAGACCCCGGGAATGTCCCATTCCATGCTGGAAATCTCAGGGAATGTCCCATTCCATGTGGGAGATCCCAGGAATGTCCCATTCCATACAGGAGATCCCAGGAATGTCCCAGTCCATGTGGGAAGTTCTGGGAATGTCCCATCCCATGTTGGAGACACCAGGAATGGTCAATTCCATACTGGAGA